GGAACCTTTTTCTTTTTCTTTATATGTAATTTATTTTTATCAATCTTTACTTTGTTTTTGTCCACCATTTTGTTTAGTAATATTTTGGGGTGTAGCTGTATTTGTATTGCTATAATGAATATGGTAAACAAATATAATAGGAGTAATGCAGACCAATTTGTAATTAAAGTTTAATAGGATTGTGATTGCAAATTAACTAATTAATATCTTACAAAATGGATAGATTTAACTTCTGAATGAAATCTTGAAGTAACTTATTTGGATTTTATTGATTTAAGATAGTAACAATCAAATTTTGAAAAATCACTTAGAGATAGAATAAAATTTTAATCTGCTTAACTAATTTTTCCCTTTTTTTCCTGTTAATAGATTAAATATTACACAAATAGTGTTGAAAATGAAAACCTGATAGCCACTATTTCAGTATTTTGTTACAGCTTACTAAAGTTTTAGTTCTTGTTCTCAGCTTTCGATAAAATTTCTATTATCTTCCTATAATTGTTCTTTTTCAAAGTTATTTTCCTTTAACAATTCATAAGCAATAAAAATTCTGTTTATTATATGTTCATTATTTACTGACTTTCAATATTACAATGATTATTTTTGTTATTTTTTTTTAAATAATAAAGAATGAGATATTGTAGGATTTAGTTAATAATACCCTTTTTAAATATAGTTAAAAATTACGTTGGATAATAATTGTACTTTGCATGAACATAAATTATATATAATACTCTTCCAAATGCAATTAATGTTTCATTTTTAGAAAAAATAATTGTTACAGTTTTAAGTATAATTATTTCCCATGAAAATATATTAACTTATGTTGGTTCTTTTGTTTATGAATAGATTCTTTGTTGTTGATAATAAAATTCTTAAGATTAACATTTAACTAGGACAAATTTGTTTATATACAAATAAAATTTATTTAGTGTCTCAAAATACTCTTTTGTAATACTTAAAATACCCTTATCTAATAATTAAAATAAAAGCTAAATTATAATAAAAAGTATTGATTTAAATATCTACCACAATTCTCATGTTAGCACCTTAAATTTTTACATTAATAAATAAGGCTATGAAAGAAGGACATGAAATATTGGCAAAATGTCTTTTTATTTTATTTTTATATTTTTAAGTCTTCCAAAGGTGAAAATCTATTGATTTTCATAATTCCGGCCATCATACAAAACAAATAAATGCTAAATATAATTTTTACTTAGTAGTTGTGTGTGTTTGTGTGTTTGTTTGTTTGTTTGTTTTTATTGATAAAATGGGTGAATATAGTTAGATACAAATAAAAGCATAGAAAAGAAATATTGAATAAAAATTTGATTTGGGTTAAAAAATATTAAATATATATATGTTAATCTTACTTTTAAAGCTAAATAGAAACCAGTTTGTAAGGGGGAGTGCGTGATTGCAAGATAATATATAATTATTTTCAAAGATGGTAACCAATTTCCAATGTTAATAAGATTACTTTAAAAATTCATACTTTATTCTATATGTACTGAAAATACTTAGACTACTGTTTTATTCTTTTGCTATTTTTCATAATAAAATATTGATGTCATGGAGGCCCAAAACTGAAGAAACATTCTGGTATGCAGTATTTGCATATAAAACGAATGCATAAATTTCTATGCTTATCCCTCATGATATAAAAAATTTCAAGAATGACATTTTTGGATTATTTGAAGAAGATTTATACAATTGAGGGAGAGTTTGATATTAACAAAAAATAAAATTCTTCTGCCCATGTACATCGTTGGGGTAGAGTGGATATTGTATATTTTGTTGAAATACCATTTTTGTGAGTATCAAGGACTTTGTTGGTATTTCTGGAATTAGTGTGTTTTGAACTTGTGCTATAGTTATATTTTCCATCCGTCCATTTTATTACAGGCACATTTTGAAATTCTTCTTGTAACTTAAAATATGCAATAGGTAAAATTTTTTCTCTCTTGGATAGAAATTTACTGCCTTTTGCTATATGTAACAGATCTAAACTTGCTCTTTTTGTGACAGCTTACTTTAACTTATTCAAAAACATAATTTATATCTTTGGTTTTAATTATTACACAATTTACTCCATTAAAAATTTATGCCATTTTTTTTTTTTTTTTTTTTTTTTTTTTTTTAAGTAAAATAGTGGAATTATTCATTCAAAATGTTGAGTTAAAGTTGTTGATCTTCAGAAAGTAAATCAACAATTGTAGAAATTTATGCCTCAAATTTTTAATTCACTCTTTGAAGTAAGAGTTTCTAAATTCTACCAACTCTATTTTATATATTTTAAGATTTGAGCAATATAAGTGATTTTTTTTTATTTTAATATTATTCTTTATGCTTTTAATTGATAAAATATTTTGCCATTTTAAGTATATGAAAATATTAACATTATTTTTTTTTCTGTTGTTTTTTTCAATTGAATTCACCCCAAGCAAGCCAGTAAAGCCATGAAGACTTGAGGGGTTACTGAGTGTGAAAGAATTAGAAAACAGAAATGTATAGTGAGAACAACAGAAGACTAATCAGGAAGACAGTAGAAAGTGATTGACATTGCATTTAAAATTTTTAAGTTGGTTGGAAAGCATGGAGCCGGAAGAGAGTTCCACAAGCAAGAAGTGTGAGAAAAGAAACTGTTAGCATAGAACTTCTAGCCAATTCAACTGTAAATTGATAAGACCTCATCGCCAATCTAGTCATAAAGTCTAGGTGGCATAGAGGGAATTTCATCAGAACAATTACCATGAAACCATTTATAGAAAAGGCAGAGGGAAGCAACTTTATGGGGATGGAAGATTGACTGAAGCCAAGATGCCAGGTCAGGACCAATAATATTTACTGATTCTTTGGATTTTATCAAGGATCTCTAAATATATAGCAGGAGCACTGGACAATATGTGACAGCAATATTCTAAGCATGGGTGAATGGTAGACTTATAGATATGTAAGATTCTGGTGAGAAAAATTGTCTCGCACAACACAGTAAACCTACTTTCTAGCAATGGATTCAATGTAGTCTTTTCATTTCTTGTTAGTTGAGAATATTAACCCAAGAAGGGGCAACAAGTGACTCTCTTGGAGGTTAGCATCAGCCATGTTGATGAAAAGCAGAAAAGGGTCTCTCAGATAATTAAGTGATTTTTTATAAATATAATTAAAATATAGCCATTTAAAAACCTTTTTAATCTATAATGTATAATAGTTGTATATTTTGATTTTGTCTGCATGCATGTATGTTTGAGAAAAAGCTATTAAATAAAACATTTTCCCCAGCATCAAACAATTTATGATGGTGACTACAGTTTGTAATTATTGGGAACTGTTAAATTAAAGTATAGCAATTTGGTGAACTTTACAAGTAGTTTTCCTTTGTATGCTTGAAATGTGTTTATCTTATGGGTTGAAAAATTGATCTTCAGCTTGAATGTTCTCAGTTTCCACCTTCATTGAAATTTCCCAAAATAATTTCTTTTTAGAAGTTGATTTAGACAATTTCTTTTATTAGATATCTTTACACTCCTCTCCGGTCTTTTGAACAGGAGTAGAGGTTTATCCCTTGTTAACTGTTTAGGATTGGGTTTCTGGTTCCTTCTAAATTCTATTTCAACTGTACACTTTTAACATTTCTGCCTAAAAAAATTTTTTGTTTACTATTTTTCATTTATTTTTTTCCTCAATAGGAGTAGATATGTTTGCCTATTTTCTGTTTCATACACCTCCCTTGTCTTTTGAACAGGAGTAGAGGTTGATCCCTTGTTTCCTGTTTAGGATTGGGTTTCTGGTTCTTTCTAAAGTATTTTTCATTCTCTTTTACTGCTCCTTGTGTCTTAGTGGCATTAGTACCTTGCTTGGTATGAATTAAAAAAGGAATAAAAAAAAAAAATAAAATTGTTAGATTATTTTTCAGATCATTCATTAAAAACTTTGCTTTTTGCACTTGTAAAATCTGGTAAGTGAATAAAATGGTGCCTGTGTCTTTTAGCCTGAGGTTTGCAGAAGAGAGGAGGGATTTGGTAGCTTCTAAAATTAGTATTATGATTGAATGATTGGAATGTGGTTCAAGATTCTTTTCTATTAGTCCTCTATTATTTACAAATTTTGATTATCTAAAAGTTTCTTTGATTTTACTCATGGTTTGTCTCTGCTGTTGTTAGTTGAGACAATCTCAACTACTGAAATATAAATATTATCAGTTAGAGATGAACATTGTACTTAAAAATATCTCATATAAGCCTTTCATCTTTTCATGTGAAATAATTTAGAATTGAATAAATCCATTATATGGCACAAACATGTCAAGTGATGACCAATGATTGTTATTTAGTGAATGTGTAGGATCCAGTTGTAACTAAAAGGTTGCAGATTCAATCTCTAGATAAGTTACTAGCTGACACTGAAATATTTTACTACCAATTAATTTACAAAAATCAACTAGTTTAATTCATAAAAAAAAAGAAATAATTCATATTAATACATACAAAAATGGTTTAATTGTAATTAGATATATCTAGTATTGCTCAAAGTGGCATAAAACAAACACACACTCACAGTTCTCTTCCTAAATAAGTATTTCAATTATCAAACAGAATATTTATCTGTGTAAGTGGTTGTGCTGAGAACTTTTCAGCATTACCTTGTATATTTGTGGTTAAGATAGTTTTGCAGTGTTTTGTTAATTTTTTTTTTAATTTAATTTTAAAAAAATTCAGGATTGAAAAATATATAAGCTTGATGAAAAAGAACCGACAAGGTCTATTTTATTTTTTATTATATTTTTCTAATTTTCAGATAAGGTGTTCAGTATTATGTTTGAAGTTGTGGATAAACTGTCCAAAGTTCATATTTTGTTATTTTTGTTCAAATACTTATCACTTTCACAGTCATTATCAAGAACTGATATGGTGTCTCTGTGGTAGTTATTCCTTTTGTCTACATCCTGGTATTCTTTTTGTGCAACCTCATTCCTAATAGTCATTACACATCATGCTAGATCATTACAAACATCCATCTTCCATAAAAATACCATGATAAAGAGAAAGAAATTCCAACTACCATTCAGACACCACATCAGTTCTTGATAATGACTGAAATTTGAAAGTACTTGAACAAAAATAACAAAACATTAACTTCTGTCAGTTTATCCATAACTTTAAAAACAATACTCAACACCTTATCCAAAAACTGTAAAAATATAATAAAAAATAAAACAGACTGACTTTGCCGGTTCCTTTTATTTAAATTTGTTTGGATGAATACTTGCTGCCTAAATCTACCTTTTATACATATATTCAGGGTTATTAAAAAAGAATTAATCAATTTCATTGAGCAATATTTTAATAAGGAAAAACAATAGAAAACTCCAGCCAAGTCACAAGTATTCTACTCACAATCGACTTTTATTTTCTATCTTACAAGTGTTCAATGTGTCCGTCACCTACAGCACGGGCAACATCAATGTGATAAGAGAATTCCTCCCAGACGCATATCAGCATATCACAATTCACTGAGTTGATCGCTGTTATTCAGTGTTTAAGGTCATTGTGGATATATGAAAATAAAACATAAAAAAAAAAACTAAATCACTTTTATGTTCCACCTTTATATATATATATATATATATATATTCCCACAAGAAAAAAATAACACACTGTGAAGTCTGGGGATCTTGCAGGCCAAGTGCAAGGTCTTGGTAAGTGCCTGAACGATATGTAGTCTGTAATGTAGATGTCTTAGCACACACCAGATAGCGGATTGAGAGATTGCAAGCTCATGACTAGCTCGATTTGTGGATTTCCGTGTTCTCTCCTCAAAGGCAGGATAGAATCCTGCCACTTGTTCCTCTGAAAATTCCTTTACACAAACACTCACTCTTTTGAAACTGTTTAAACCGCCATCAAATGTTCTTAGGAGAAGGTGGATTAATATTGAATTGACTTCAAAAACCATGCTGCACTGTGACAACCATATTTGTTTTCATAAACTAAGGAATGCAGAATGCCTTTTGCTGAGGACTCACCATTCTGGTATAAGCAAACAACATTGCCGAGATACAATGCAACTACAGCGCCCCCCTGTGGCAGCCATTCAAAATTAGAAAACTCCTCTTCCCAATAGTCACTGACTTATTCCATGTCGATACTTGAGAACTGAAGCAATGTGTCATGAAATTGGTTCATTCTTTTTGAATAACCCTGTATAATGTAGGTACCTCCACAGATTCACTAAGAAATGAGCATAGTATGATGAAAAAATGCTATAGACTTAATAAAAACAAAGTTTTATTATCAAAATCTTTATTTTTTTAAAGGAAAGACTAATTAATTTTTTGATTATTAAATTATTATTATGATGCATTTTAGAAGGTTTGAAATTTTGGTTAAAAATCTTGTTTTCCTAGCATCTGCGGGTAGGTGGGTGGGGGAAGATATAGGAAATATAGTATAGGAAATTTTAACGACTTTTTTTGCAATGAAAAACATTGATTTGGAAGTTTTTGCAAAAATCAAATAATTGTCAGATTTTAATGAAATTTTATGAACTTTTTTTAAGCATGTGTTACCCCTGCACTTATTTAATTTGATGAAAAATTCTTATTGAATTCTTTTGTAGTGCTTAATTATAGTTATATGCAGAATGCCTTCGAGAATTTAAATCATCAATTTTATTTATTTATTTATTTTTTTTTTGTAAAATGGGACATCCAGTTACCAAAAATCTGCTCTTAGTTGTAAAATAAAAATACAATAAAACTAAATATTTAATTAGAAAAGCTTTCAATTGCTTTTATGAGTAAAATATATTATGGACATTATTGTTTTAAAAAATTGTTTTTCAAGAAGTGTTTTGATTTTTTTTTTTTTTTTTTTTAAATTTATACAATTTATAGTTATAAATCTTAAATTTCTGCATAAATTTGTACCAGTTAGGTGATATTGTTATTAACTAAAAACTATACTAATTAAATGGAAAAGCTTACTACAATTTAGTGAACCCCAATATTTTAAAAAGAATTTTGAATTTTTATTTTCATTGTATAAATAGATGTCCATACACAACATTATTAGGAAATAAGAAATAGCTAGTAAATTTAAAGGTAAAGCAGCTAAAATTCAGCAAAACAGTAGATTAGTTTTTGAAATACCGCAAAGTATTTTGCTTATTGGAAATATTGGATTTAATCTATTAGCTTGTATTTAAAAATAAAATAAAAGCTTCAAGATAGATTTTTCATTATTTAAAATTCATTTTAAACATTAGACTTTGCATTTCTGTGGAGGTAGCGCACTCTCTCTCTCTCTCTCTAATATATATATATATATATATATATATATATATATATTGTACTTGTAAAATATGTTAATTCTGCAGAGTTTTTTTTCTTTGTAAATAAATGTATAAGTTAATTGATTAAAATAGAAATAATATATTTCGAAGTCATAAAAAATTCAATTTTGTAGATTTAAAAGTAATTTTTCCAGGTGGACAACTCTCCTGGTTTCTCTTTTGCAGAAATTCTACTTTTTACCCACATTATTTCTATGAGAAGAAAAATTAAACAATTTTTTTTTAATTCAGGGTGGGGTCTGCAACCCTAACTGGCTTCTCATTTAATTAAATCTTGGGGATCCTCTAAACAAACCTCTTCAGATTCTTTCAATTAAATATAAATTCATACAGTCACAATATTTTTATCAATTTGCTGCTTTGTGACAAATTCTTAAAAAAAAAAAAAAAAAAATAAAAAAAAAATTCAAACCAAAAAAAATGGACATTACTGAATGTGATTGCTAAAAAAAAAAATAATGCACCCTTTTTTCCCTCATTCCAAGTTTTTTTTAAACTTCTACTCCAGTACCCCCCTCTCAGTATCGTTCTTTCTTTCCTTCCTTTTTGTACAACCTCTTCCCTACTTTTATTCTTTTCTTCCTCATACCTATATGTATTGTACTTCGTTATAAATATATCTAATGACTACTTGACCTATACAAAGGTATCAGTATTGGTTAAGTTTGCTACACAGTCCCACATTCCATATACCTCTCACTTGGATGCATTTATTAACTCACCTTAATGAAACCTTATTCCATGTTGACATCTTGAATATTAAATATCTTTTTAAAAGAAAAAAATCCCTTCAGTATGTTAGTGAGATTTGAAGTCTTTATCTAACATATTTTATTTTGATTTTTGATTTTTTTCCCTAATATTTTTACTAATCTTTTTGTCAAACACAACATATAGTGTACTGGCAGTGTTGGAATTTTGTTTTAATCCTTTTTTTTTTAAATCCTTTTTTAATCTTTTTTTTAATCCTCTTTAATCCTTTTGTAATCCTTTTGTAATCCTCTTTAATAATCTCTTTTAATCCTTTTTTAATCTTTTTTTTATCTTTTTCTCTAAATTAAAAAAAAAAAAGTAAAGCAGTTTTGGTCCCTCCTTTTCTCCACAATTGAATTTGAATGTAAATCAAAGGATTGTTGGTGTATTGTATTTTATATAACAATTGTCCACTAACTATGCAGAAGGTGGGAATTTATAAATTTTCTTTTGGATCTTGACTTTGGCTTGTGGGTTGTGTTTTACAGTGTTACTATTATGTCACATGCTGGACCATGTCTTGAGAATTGACGTAATGCTTTGTAGCTAGACTACTTATTTTGTTTTTTACTTTGTTTGAAAAGTTCTTCAATTTAATTTATGCAAAAAAAAAAAAAAGAAAAAAAATACCAAAACAAAATGAAAAATACAGTTGAACTTTGTTTCTTTTCTATTTAAATATTTTCATTTAACTTGGAGAGAGGGAATTATTTTGTAGTCATTTTTTTTATCTTCCTTTGCCTCATATTCTAGATATAAATTTTTAAAACTATATAAATTTTTCTATTAAAACAGTCAACAATTTATACTTTATTTTAAAATTTTTGTATGAGGATCACATATGCAAAATTTTATAAAACAAGAAAAAGGTATGTAAATTTTGCAGAGTATAAATCAGTTACTCCTTTCCTTTTTTTTATTTTGAATTGGTTACATGAGTGGGTAAAATTATTATATAGTGTAAAGTAATCTAGATAATATTAGTTTTTTTTCTAATTGTATTTTGTATGTTGGAGAAAAAAAAAGGTTAAATTTTAAAGAATGTGTATTTAGAATATGAGGTAAAAATAGTATTTTTCTTTTTAGGAAAAGGTAAGAAAAAGGTGCAAATCAAAGGTAGTACTTAAAACTGTTTAAGAAAATAAAAATGTTACAGACTTGAATTAGTAAATAGCTTCACTAACAACATGGAAATATATCTTAAAAGCTAAGATTTAATTTAATTATTCAGTTCTCCAAAATTTGATGTCTTTAATGTTTGTCCAATAAGTTCTGTCATTGTTTATCTTGTATAGTCAATCTTGGTTCTGTTAGACATGCATCTCAGCAAATGCAATTAAGTTTCTAAATACTTGTCTGGAGAGATGCTTTGAGGTAAAATAACAGTTTAGATTTCATTGGAATAATTTTACTTGATTTTTCAAGTAATTTTTTATGATTCAGTTTGTAAAAATAATTGTTGTTTAAGATTTCATTCATCTTTATCAGTCTGTATGTGACATCATTTGCTGCACAAAAAATTTATTCTGCCACTGAAGGTGACTTTGATCCCTGAACAAAAGTGTTTGAATTTCATAGTTGTGTTGTCATATCCTGCTATGGCAACAGAAAATAACTGAGAGAAATTAACAATAAGTATACTGCAATTAACAGGCCTTGAAAAAGAATGTGGTGGAAAGGGAAGTAATATTAATAATGTAGCATGCTGAAGGTTAATTTTTAGCATCCACAGAATCTGTAACAATATTTAACAGCTGAAGCTTTGATCATTTTTTTTAAAAATTTTTTTATAGAAGATGAAAATTAAATATAGGATCATTAATCCTATGTTTCTCTTTCTGTGGATGAGTGTATTTAGTAGTTTATTAAATATTCAATTGAGGGATTGGGTGAGAGTGAATTTTATTTCTTTTTATTCTTTTCATGGAGGAGTGGTTAGCAAGCTAGTTTTGCTGACTGTTACTTCTGTAGCAAGATTGATTCATTGGGTACCTCATTAACTTGTGTCAAACTAAACTAAATTTAAATATTGATGATATACAAATACCTTTACTGAATACCTCTTTTTCTTCCTTTTCCAATTTGCTTGCTTGCTTAATTAATTAATTAATTGTTTACTAACTTTATATGAATCCCCCTGCATTGGCAACATTAATGTTTATTGATTAACAACAATGGCAACATTAATGTTTATTTTCAGTTTATTTAATCATTATTATTTTCAATGGATGCTGCTTATTTAATTTTACTTATTCTCTTCATACTTTTTTTTTTCTCATTTTTTTTTTATATTCTCTGAACACCTTGATCTTTTTAGTTCTAGTTTTGTTGTAATAATTTTTTCTTCATCTTTTGAATGGTAGTAAGAAAAAGAAAAAAATGTTTGTTTCCCTTGAACATCATATCTGAATTCTACGAATTCTATTTTACTTGAATGTAAATAAAACTAAACATGTAAATTAAGTAAGCATTGGTGGAGTCCACATTTAAACAGCTGGTCTTTAGATTCAAAAATAATGGTTTAAAGCAGTGTTTATCAACCACTTAAGCACAAATAGAAATTCCACATAACAGGAAATACATTTTATTTACAAAATGTAGTAGAAAATATAAATCCTGACTGATGATGGTATTGCTCCTGATATCTCCAGATCCATTTAAAATATTTTTCAGAGCTACTTTTGAGCCTAAGGGCCCATCTTGAGAATCATTGGTTTAGAGTGTCAAGTGTTGTAAAATCCTAAATATTATATATTTGAATATTTATTATTATATAGGTATTTAAATAAGACGGAATAGATCTATTTATTTGTTGATTGTAGTGAGTAAAGTTTGGGGTGCTTAAATATATAAACACAAATACTTATTCCTTAAGTAAGCTTACCATAATTTCCAAGCCTTGAATCAGTTTTTCAGTTTTTATTATAGGTTTAGGTTATTGTATAATAACTCAACAACAACATAAACTTCAGGACTGGCACAAACAATGAATACTGACAGCTTACTGTTTTAGAAGGTCATAAGGATATAATCTGCCAAACTGAAGATGTTCTGGTCAAATCAAGACATTACCTTATATAAATTAGCCTGTGTTTATCTACATCTGATGTGGATTGAACTCACTACTAAGTCGTAATTGTTCTAGTGAGACAAGCTTGCACCGCTCTGAGGTGCCCCATCTCATATAGTTATAAGTGCTACAAGTTTCTTTAAAAAGAAAGAAAAGCTAGATAGAATGAATTAATCCGAATACCAAACATTATTAATTAATAAAAGTTTAGAAACCACAAAGTAAAATATATACATATAAAAATATATACATATATACATATAAAATATATACATATAAAAAATCTCCTTCATAAAACTTGGTTTACAAGACTAACTGGATTCTAACTTGATAAATGAAAATAATGGCAAAATCTTAGAACTTTATTCAATTTCTTAAGAAGTGGTTTTAATTTGGAAAAGATTCTCATTTTAAAAATTTATTTTTCATTTGTAATCTATACACTATGAATATAATCTATTATTTTAAATATTTTGAATGTTTAGTAGCATTAATTGTAGTTTATAATTCTTAGGCTGCTAAGTATGGTACTCAGAAAATGTTGTTTAAACTTAATTGGTCACTGTCCATCCTGTCTTATATTGTAACTATACATTAAAATTTACCCTTTTTGTTTTCACTGCCATATAAAATTACCATAAAGAATTTTAAATGCAGAAAAATGGTTGTAATTTTTAGTCAAAACTTTTAATTAGATTTTTTTTTTTTTTTTTACTACTCATTATAGTTTACTGCATATTTATCATCCATAATAATAATAATAATAATTTTTTGTGTATAAAATTTTAAGATTTTAGCATGAAAAATATAAATTGTTATCAGTTATTTCATTAATGATAAAAGGATAGTAAAAACCTGTACATTACTTTTTAGATATTCTATATTATAGTTCAGATGGGTTTTAACAAATATAAATTGATTGTTATAAATTTTATTGTAAAATGAGAAAATAAATATGTAATATATTCTTAGATTTTCTTTTTTAATTTATACTTTTTTCTTCTGTACAATTTAAGTTCTTGAAAATGTGGATCCAGAATATGAGATCTGGTAAAAAGAATAAAATAACAAAAAGCAAAAATCAAAACAGAAAGGAAAAAAAAAGAAAAGAAAACGTTGATCACTAACAAAATCTATAATTAAGTATGGTTACATTTTGGCTTTTGAACCAAACATTTATCCAGTTTGTGTCTAACTTTGCTATATTTCTAATGTGATTTGTTTTTTTGCTTTTTCACTCTTCTACTTTTTGTTTCACTTTATGGTTATTTTCCTTTAAAATTATCTTTTTAAATCTTCAATATTTAGAAATATTTTTGTTTTTATATATCTCCATATTTAGTGTGAAGATATATATATATATATATATATATATATATATATATATATGTCTTACTAGTTTTGCTTATATGCAAATTCTAAAAAAAATTTATTTATATTTTGAAATTTTATTTTTCTCTTGCTGAAATTTATGAGAGATGGGAATATTGGGAGAAGCCATTTTAAACCTTGGGCAATTTCCCCTTTGGTCGGTATATGTGTGAGTGTGTATTATTAAAATCTAACATATCCCACATAGGTATAATATGACATGACAGGCTCATGTTCAATACTTGGGAGGGACCATATAGACCTTGAGCAAGTCTTTAATTTCTCAGTGCCTACTGTGGTCTGTAAGTTTGTATGCTTTAACAAAAAAAAAAAAAAAAAAAATTACAAAGCACTTTCCCCAATGTTAGCATGATAAAATCTGGACAAATTTTTTTCTAAGAGATTTTTTAGAAATTGCTC